CTTAGTGTCCCCTGGCATTCCTACATTTTCCTAATGCGTTTACTCTCTCTCTCTCCTAGAGAACTACTTTATACCTCGTCTTCAGGCCCCCAACATCATCTTCCCTATCCTCACTCTCACTGAGAAAACAGATACTGAAGACAGTTCCCACCACCTACCTCTATCTGTTCATGTTCTCTGTCTCCTTACTATAGATGAACTGTGCACAGTCCTACCAAAAGCCAACTCTTCCACTTGTACACTAAATTCCATCTCTTCTTGCCTCCTCACGGACGCTTCACGCTCAATTGTCCCTACTCTCTCCATCATCAATTATTCAGTGTCTTATAGGACATTCCCAGTGGCATACAAACATGCTATCATTTCTTTCATATGGCATGTTAACCCACACACACAAAATGCTTCCCCTCTAGGTATCCATTTTTCCACTGTCTTTTACTCAAAAGAATTGTGTGTTCTCATTGTCTCCAGCTTCTCTACTCCCATACTTTCTTAGACCCACTCTAATCATGCTTTTGCCCCAATTTCTCTACCAAAACTGTACTTTTCAATGTCACCAAGTACCTCAACATTGCTAAAATCAATGGTCAGTTCTGGACCCTCAACTTACTTGGCAGCAGTATTTGTCACAGATGATCACTACCTTGAAACACTCCAATATCATCCAGGACTCCACACTCTCCTGGGTTTCCCATCTTACTGACCACTTGTCAATTTCTTTTTATGGTTCCTCTTCATTTATTCCCAACATCTTAATGTTAGAGTGCCCTAGAGCGGCCTTGGTCCTTTTCTCTTCTTTCTCTGCATTTACATCCTTGATAATCCCATCCAGTCTCATGGTTTTAATACTAACCACTCACTGGACACTCAAATTTATATTTCCAGCTCAGATAATTCCTTTTTGCTGGACTCATATTCAACTGCTTCCTTAAAATCTCTACTTGGATGTCTGTCTAATAGGCATCTCAAACATATATGTCCAAAATCAAACCCTGTTCTTCACCACCTCACCTCAACCTACCCCCCCCCCCCCCCACCCCAAAAAGTGCTCCTCTTGCAATTTCTACCATCTCAGTAAATGGCAAATCTTCCCAGTTGCGCAGGCCAAAATCCTGGAGGTCATCTCTGACTCCTCCTTTTCTGACCCCATATCCAATCCATCAGGAAATCTGTTGGGTTCCACCTTCAAAATATATGCAAAATCTGATTTAAGCCACCTCCAATGTTACTAAACCAAGGTCCAAGCCACCATCGATGACTTCCTAGATAACTGCAATAGCTTCCTACGTGGTCTCCCTGCTTCCACCTTTATTCCCTTTGGAGCCTCAATGCAGCCTTTCTTGTAAAACATAATTTAGATCATGTCAATCCTCTGCTCAAAACAAAAAACAAAACGAAGTTTAAAAAAATTAGAAACCTGAAGTTCTTAAATTGTCTACATTCTACAAGGCCATAAGATATGATCCTTTGACACCTCTTACTGCCTCTCCTACTACTCTCTCAGTTGGTCAATCCAGTCCAGCCATACTGGCCTCCTTGCTATTTCTAGAACAATTTGGGCATGCTCTCTACTCGCTTTCTGCACTTACTGATTTCTCTGTCTGGAATGTTCTTCCCTCAGATATCTGCATGGCTTATTCCCTCACTATTTTCATGTCTTTGACCAAAGGTCACCTTATCAATGTGGCCTTCCCTGACAAACTTATTTAAAATTTCAACCTACCCTCACTCAAGGCACTCCCCACTCACCATCCTTTCTTTATTTTCCTCCATCTAACATTATATTCATATCTGTGTGTGTGTGTGTATGTGTATAATGTCTATTGCCCCACCCCCCAAACAAAATTTGTTCACTACTATGTCCCCAGAGCCTAAAACAATGCCTGGGAGACAGCACACACTCAGTAAACATTTATTGAAAAAATCAAATGAATAAATCAGAAATTAGTACATAGAAGCCAAATTTATTCCTACATACCAATTAAAATCTTTAAAAGAAATTTAATTGTTCACCATCCCCGAATATCTAGATTTCTTTATCCTATAGAAGCTACTCAGGAATTTACACCATGGCAAATCCCATTTTCATTAAATCCAAACTTTATTACTTTTTAATCTATTAAGGACATAAAGTCTTTCCATCTCCCAGTCCATAATTTCTACACAACTAGAATAAATGCTAAGCTTCTAAGTACCATATCATTTTATTTAATGTGTATATATGTGTGTGTGTGTGTGTGTGTGTGTGTGTGTGTATACTTTTTATGTTTATTTATTCCTTCAAATCAAATGATGACACTAAGATTATGCACTGATAAAAACCGCTCATAAAAAGGGGTCAGGGCTAAACTGTCAAGGTTATCAAAAACAAGGAAAGTCTGAGAAACTGGCACAGCCAGAAGAAGCCTAAGAAAATGGGACAACTAAATGTAATGTGGTATTCTGTATGGAATCCTGGAACAGAAAAAGGACATTAGGTAAAAACTAAAGAAATATGAATAAACTATGTACTTTCAGTTAATAATAGTGAGTCAATATGTTCATTAATTTTAACAAAGGTAGTGTGTTAAAATAAGATGTTAATAACAGGGGAAACTTGGTACAAGGGTATATGGGAACTCTTTGTACTAGCTTTGCCATTTTTCTATAAATCTAAAAATGTCCTAAAGGATTAAGTCTATTAAAAAAGAGGGAGGCAGTCAGGTTAGTATCATGTCCAGTAAATATTACACTCTTTTTAGTGCCAAACCTAAGGAAATCAAAGAATACTAGTCTCAAATTTTATAATCAATATCAGTACAATATATATCATTAAAAACTAAGTAATGAAAAATAAAAGAAAGATATCTACTACACATGAATCAAAATTCTAGTTCAGCAATCAGGCAAGAGAGCGAATAAAATAAGGACAATTAGATTCAACTTGGGGAGCAGATCTATTCAAGTACCACATACATACATCCTTTAGTGTTTTTTTTCCCCTTTTCTGTTATTTAATTTCAGAAACAGGTGAAAGGAGGAAGAGGGGAGGGAACGAGGTAGAGAGAGAACGAGAGAGTAAGGAAGGACAGAAGGAAGGAAGGAAGGAAGGAACTAACAATGGCTCAAGCAAAGAAATAAAGACTTGACTTTCAGAAAAACATAGAACTTAAATATAAATAAAATATATGACTAAGTCACCTATAAAAATGATAGGAAGCTAAAGAGATTTGACAGGATTAAACAACAAAACTAAATTATAATTCTCAAAAAGTAGAATAAAGTTGAGATATAGTTTAGAATTTTTTCAAAATAAGGAAAAAATTCCTAACAGCAATTAATTACTATAGACCTGGAAGAGCTAGGAATACTAGAATAGTATACTCCAGAAGAATATTTTTTAAAGAAAAAAAGGTTATAAGCTTCTTAAGGTCAAAAACTATATTGTATTCATCTCTTTATTCCCCATGGTGTCTGTACATAAGAGTTATTTAATACATCCTTTTAAATGAACGATTCATTTATATTATAGCTAAATGTTAATTCTCCCCTAAAAGAATATCCAAAAGCAGTGCTGCAGGAATAAAGCAGAGAGACCAGCAGTAGTTTTTCTATAATTATGGTATGACATCAGAAGGAAAAAATTTATTTGTGTTTCAAAAGTTTTTAAGAAAAGATAAGCTGAGATTCTTAAAGGAACTTATGTTGCCTAAATTTTAATAAATACTTAAGAATGTCAGTAAAGGGGATCATACAACTGTTCTTTTTTAATAAGAGAGAAAAGAACAGATTTTTTAAAAACAACAGCACAGCTTTCTGCAAAATATCAGATTTTTAAAATGTTTTCACTAGGTTATTTAACAAGTATTTTTGAAAAGTTAGTACCAGTAATAAAAATACTATAAAATTATAGAAATCTGGCCCATAGGCCAAAAAATGTTTTTTATAATTACTAGAAAAAAGTATAAATTGTAGAAAAATTTAAACTAATTATGGAAGTAAGAGTTTCATTGCAAGTATCTATGGCTAATTTATTTTAATCATATGTAAACTTTTACATTTATCAAGAGCAAGCTATTATTTCTATAAACCAAAATCCTCCTTAGGGAAGATGGGAGAGGGTTGGCTTCTTCCCACATAGCTCTCCCATCAGAAAATCTAAAACTATTATGGCTTATTTCATACCCATGGCATTTGCAGATATTTATAAAAGAATTGACTTCTCAAAGTTCTAAATGTCATCTTAACTTTATAAACCAGGCTACACTTATGATGATTTACAAGAATAGAAGTGAAATTCTTAAAAATAGTATACTCTATATTGCAACAAAATTCTTACAAACTATATTATTACACTGTAGAGAAGAGAACAAAAAAGGAAGCCAATGAAAACTCAAAAATATCTTTTCACATGCCAGTCTTGGGAATATTTTATATAACCACTTAAAATAATGACTTTTAAAATTTTACATAATATTTAATGATATAATAGTGATGGCTTCACTAATAATCCAGCAATATAACCTCAAAAAAAAAGTTAATGCTATTTTATAGCAGAAATTCTATTTTTTTATCATTTCTAAATTATTTTAGTCTCTTCCTAAATAAAAATGTTATTTTAGAAAAAAACTTCATATTTGACAAAAATCTTCATTAAGTTCCTCAAAAATAAATCATATAAATGTAAGAATTTTCATAATAACAGCTATTCCAAGAGATTCTTATTTGAAGAGGGAAAAAAACATAAAATATTGCTGAAATTATTTAAACTTCAAAAGATGAAAACCGATTATACAATTAATCTCAACAGATAACATCTATATTTATCAACACACTCCTGTAAAGTCAAAATGAAATAAACTTATTGCCATCCACATTAAGTCATATCCTAAATCAGCAAATATAAATTAACATAAAAGCATTCTATATAAGTTTTCACACATCTCTATCACACTTTTGAACTCACTTGGGTAAATATGGATCTTTCCAACAGCAGCAGCAGTTTCTACAAAGTTATTTACCTTGTCCAGGTCTTGCAGTTACAGCTGCTCCAGCAGATGGCGGCTCAAACTCCTGTCAATTACAATAATGTTATTAGTGACCTATTACAATGTGCAAGTTATAATAAAATAGTAGTGATATCACAGCCTTACCTTTGCTTTCTTTGAGTCTGGATCAAACCTTTCAAGAATTAATTTAGCCGTTTTATAAGTTTCTTTTTCCATGACTTCTTCAAGCTGCGAACAAAAATTTCCATAAGTTGTCACATTTTAAAACACATGTATTATTTATTTTTATAAGTCTTATTTAAAAAGTTTCAAGTGCAAGGCTTAAAATAAACAGCACATCATGTGTCCAGATAACATGAAAGATTTCCTGTATTCAAATAATTAAAATTCAGATTTTAAAATGGCTTCTAACCTCTAATGTTACTTGTATTTAACAGTTTTACTGCAAGGAAATACCAAATATTGCTAATTGTTTACATATAATGAGGAGAATAATTACATGCACCAACTTCAATAATGGAATGTGCAAAAATCTATCAGCTATCATTATTGGAAGTTATTAGACATGACAAGCAAATGACAGGCAATTCCTCAGATTTATTTCCTCATGGCACTTAATGCTATTAATTTAAAGAAGGTCGTTAGCCAAGAGCTTTACAAAATAAAATCTCTGTGCCAATTAACTGCTGTCAGCATCGATTTTAGATTATTTATTAGCAGAAGCAATTAGCTTGCTGCAAATGCAGTGAAAACTAACTGGGAGAACAGCCATGGAATTTGCTCAAACGACTTCAAAAGCTGAAGCTCCCCCTTTTATATTTAGATTCAAACAATGTTAGAGGGAAAAAACTGAACATAGTAAGAATTTAAGTAAAAATTTTATTGAGTTTTATGCTCACACTAGGGACTGTCATTAAAACACTTCATTATTATAGCATTTTATTTACAATGCACTCAAGTCACTTTATGGCTTAATACATGGATTTAATTTAAAAAGTAATCACTAGTAAAGTATCATTTTAGCAGTTATGGCCCAATATCAGAAAAAGTTTAACTTTAGTACAAGACAGTCAAGACAGACAGTACAAAACAGCTAATGTGTACAATAAAATGCTTTTACAAAAACTGGAACGAGACCTTTTCCTTCTCAGTGACCACCGATAGCCTCTTAGATTCATGAAATGTCATATTTATTACAAAGGACATTTATTTTAAAACGCAATGCAAAGCACATTTATCAAGTTAAAAATATGCTGCCACAATAGTAGTTAATAGATTCTTCCTTAAAAACTCAATTCAACATTTAAAAAACTAAACTGCTTAGATGAACGATTTATTAACCTTGGTTTAGTGAAAGTAAAACATTTTCCTAATTATTTTAAAATTATGATAAATTCTTAAACAAGCAAGTTTAATTTTCTGACATAAAAGAAATGTTTGTAATCACTTTAGAGTTGAGGAAAGACTGGGAATGGAGAGAGGGCATGATAGAATATATCCCCAAATCAACATAAGCTACATGGAACACCAAAGAACTGAATCTCTCATCTCTACAAATTAATTTTTGATGTTTTACACCAGTATTGTGGCAATAAACTTTATGTAATTATGAAAATGGTTTATATCTGTACAATACAGTAGCCATTAAGCCATGTGTGATAAATAAATGAGCACTTAAAATGTTGCTTGTGCAACTGAGGAACTGAATTATAGTTTTATTCCATTTTAAATAATGTTAATTTAAAAAGCTACAAGAAGTTAGTAGCTACGGATTTGGACAGCACAGTTCTAGACTAAGACTAGTGCAAGGTTTAATCAAAAGATTAGCTACAACTATGATTTTTAAAACAACACAAAAACTCAAAACCAAAATGCCACATCAAATGACTGCAATTCCTCGTACATCATTCAGTTAGTATCTGTGTTTATGTCTATGTACATGTAAAGTATCTCACGTGAAGTCATTTTAAAAATCATTTAATGGATACAAATCCATTCTCCTTTTTTTTCCATTTACTTCTAACAAAAATTTTCACATAATAGCTTAATTACTCTGTGTTTTTCATAATATTCTATATATTTTAAATAATAATGAATGATAGAATGAATTGTTTTTCTGTGATATGGTTATACCAAAAGTTCCAGAATTTTTTTATTTAAAAAAGAGAACAAACACGATTATTACGAATCAATATTATTTTGACAAGATTATATATTTTGATAACAGGTAAAAATTATTTCTACCTGATATCGACATTACATCATAGAGAACACTAAAAGAAGGGAGAACACAAAATAAAGTCAAAATTTTTAATTTTGAAAGATAATTCTACAAATATTTAATAGTTAAATTATCATTGTTGAAATAAAATTTTAAAACACACAAAGCACTAATTGCCCTATCCAATATTCTAGATCTTTGTCTCATGACACATATTCCAGATGCAGAAAATTTTCTTTCGTTTTGCACTAACTTTGGTCAAATTATTAAGAGTGTGCCCAAAAGCATCTTCAATTCAGAGTATTAGGGTACATATTGCATCATCTTTTTACAACAATGAACATATTGTCTGCTTACTCTGATTTTGGTTTTGCTGCTGAAATCAATGTTGCTTTTACTAATTTGGATTTTATGTTATCTTCTGATTTCATATTAGGAGTATTCCACAATTATAAGTCACATCTTTTCTCTCTGCATTTCTTCTGTTAAAGTATATACAAGGTCTGTAGCCCATAGTGAAGATTCAAACACTGGAAATGCCAGCAAACATTATTGGGTAATATGAAAATGTAACATTTGAAACTTCTAGTGAGGTTAACAGTCCTACATGGAATCAACATGCTGAAATTGTCAATTTAAGGACTTTTGCTTCCAAAATTTATTTCTTGGAAAATCATTCACAGGATTTTGTATAAAGTATACTATGTTCATAAACTTATTAACATTTATTTGTAAGAATAACTCTCTATTAATAAGAGACAGGGCCCATAAAACATACTTATAAAATAGCCACATAGGTAAAACTGACTAATTAGATTGTGCCACTTCTCTTCTACCTGCTCCTGTCCTGTTCCCAGAAATGTCCACATTAACCTACAGCTCAGCATGGCAGCATTTCTTGCTCTTCCTTTCAATTGACATTAGTGGATTCCTTTGAACCAGTAACATTAGGAGTTGATTCTTAAGCTTTAATTCTCAGAGAATTATAACACTTCTTCCCATGTTCCCAATTTCTTAACTGATTTTTCTCAAGATTTTAAAAAACAAATTTCCTGAGAAATGCCACAAAGAAGTACCATAGAGAAACATTATTCTGGAAAAAGCACAGCATTTTCATGAAGCCACTTAAACAGGTCATCTTGACTCGTTTTGATGGATCTTGATTTTGAACTGTTTAGATGAGAAGCTTATGGATGCAGAGGGATTATCTATTGAACAGAGACTTTTTAAAAAAACAAAAAGTTTTTTTAAAAGACCACAAAATACGTGAGTGGCAAAATGCATACATCCAGAACTGGGAGTGTTTTCGATAACTAAAGTTTAACTTCTAGCTTTATTTTAATAAGCAAATACTTAGATTTAGCTCTTAGATTCAAAACATTGTTGTCACTCGTTTTTCTAAGAAATTGGACTTTTTAATCAACTGATAATTCAAGTTTATTGTTACAAATTACACTTTTACAAATTACAAATTACATTACAAATCTATACAGATTAAAGAGATGCATCCCTAAGGAAACCACCTCTAATAAAACATCAAGTAGTAAGTATAACTTGTATTAATTTTGTTAATGAAAGAAAAGGGTTAGGAATTGGATAATTTTAGACTGATAAAGTTTTTTTTCCTTCAGGTATTTCAAAAGAATAAAAGTATTTTTAAATCTATAAATGTAGAGTTTAAACTTAAACATCAATAAAGAAGATCAGTTTTGATTACATTTAGCTTTTGCTCAAAAGCAACGTCCCTTCTTTTTCCTCTCATTACCAGCACAATCATTAGCTAGCACTGTGCTCCTTACTAACTCACACTTAACACCTATTGTTCTAAACAAAGTATAAAGCTACTCAAACAAAGCAGTTCTGTTACGGGCTTGAACAATAAAGGCCAGGAACTAGTTCCCAGTAGCAACAGTATAATAACCACAATGGTCAAGTCAACGCAAATTGTGTTCCCTAAATAATACAATGAGTTAGAGCAGCCAACTTCTTTTTTTAATCATACTGCAAGAGAAATGCCATACTGAACTATTCTGTAATATCGATGCCTCATGAACCATTTAGATATACACAACTATTGAACCCTGAACTGAATTTCCAACTGTCGGGCGTAGATAGAGCATCTTTTATGTTGTGATTCCTTTAAGGGCTATTAAACAAGTAAATAGCCTGGCCTGCCCTTTCACAGCATTTACCAAGTCTGCTCTGTTACTCTATTGAGAGATTTTCCCCAATCATATGTTCTCCAAGTTTCTGTTTTCTAGTCATGTGATGCCACTGACACTGGGTCAGCTTCTCATCACCTAGAATTTTTTATTTTCTTTTGTTTCTTTTTTCTTTTTTCTTTGGCGTCCTCCTTGTCTTCGCTACCTTAGTCAGTATTTCTCCATTTTGGTACAAGTCGGGCTTGGCTCTGATCACCACTGCCAGCTCTTCTTTTTTATGACATCAGCAAACCAAACCAATAATATCACAACTTCTCTATCACTGAGAACCATCAGTATTTCCTCACTTTGAATTTCTGGCTGTTCCATAATGTACAGAATGCCAGAAATATAATAAGATATAATAGGAATATATGTTTCAATTCAGGCCCATCAAAAATGTCAATGTAATTTTGCTAAATACCTCACAGAACACTGAAGAAGCATCAAACAAACAAAAAGATAAAGAATCCTTTCAGAATTAAAGTTCCTTTATTTTTCAGGTACTTAAAACCCTCAGAACAATTTTTGACACTGATCTTAACCCTCATAATTTTCACTAGTTTCACACATAATTGTTACTTATTACGTGTTAGACTAAAATACATTGAATTGATCATTTGTATCTGACTAAATTTCATTAAGTAAGTTTCCATATAACATGATATTGCTAGTAATTACCATTTGCATACTTCAAAAATAATTATATGAAAAAAGCATATGCAAATTCAAGTCAAACATCAACTTCAATTCACTTATTAGAGACCATCATATATCAGCCTCTATATATCTAGGGCCCTTCCTCTCTTACTCTTGGCCCTCTTTCCAACACATCGCAAGGATGGCTCCCCAATAGATACCCATGTGATCAGCGTTGCTGATAGAAAACGGAAGAAATCAAAGAAAAGAATTTTCCATCTCTCTTCCCCCTTTCTTCAGCCTTTTCATGTTAAATTTGTCTTCTACAACCAATCTTCTTGATTCTCTCTCTCCCAGCCTACTGCATCAAGAAAACCTGAGAACTGACATATGTAGATATTTGGTCTTTTTTTGGCCCTAATAATCAATCTAGACACCCACCTTTTTACCAATGTTCTCATTTAGTCCTCCAATATGATTCATTTACTTACTTCTCAGCTTCCAACTGACATAGATTCTCAGAAACTCAAAAGTCCATCTAACTATTTTTTCCTGTCAATCACTATTAACTAGCAAAAATATTCATAATTTAGCTTCATCATTAAAATGCTATCTAAAAGCATACTTGTTCCTTGGAGAGTCATTACTTACAACATATAAACATTAATTATTCAGTTCTTAATTTATTAGTTTCATATAAATTAACTTTAAATAAAAGTTAACTTACGATTTTTTTCTTCTGGGATTTTAAATCATCCAATGCTTCATCTAGAAAACAAGATTTAAATCAAAGCTAAATCAGATATTAAGATAATGAGATATAAGAAAAAATCATGCCAAATGATATACATTAAAAAACCACAAGAAAACTTTCTCATTTTAGGATTTCTCGCTGATGTGTATAAACAAATATTACCTCAATCTTTACTCATATATATTTCATATTTTTGCCTATTTTACATACTGCAAGCTAAGTAGGGAAAAATGGACTTTACATAGAATAAAATACCTTTCCAAATTTAAAAAGATATATATTTTTAAATGTTTTCAGAAACATTACTATTATTTCTTCTTCCTTTCCACATCTCCTTCAACATCTCACTCACGTTAACTTCAAAATTAATACCCAAATCTCTTTTCATACATTGGTAATAAAAATGTTCTCTCTTTGTTTATAAGGAAGAAGTGCATAACTTTTTAAATTACTCAACCTTTAAGATATTGAGCGCTAATAAGGAAAACCTTTTGAAAATCGATAGTATTATACCTGAGGAAGGATTCAAAAAGGAAGGGGATACTTTTCAAAATTAAACTGTTCTAAGGTGTGCCTGCTTATTTAGGTTGGCATGGTGGAACATGAAGAATTATTTCAAAGAATATCATTTGTGAATGTCAAACATATACTTTACAAATTTATCTTAGGTTTCTAGTCTTTCTCTAGAAATATTTAACTGTACAATTGGGAATGCAATTCCAGCTGGAAAAAAGAGTCAGAACTTGATTTAAACATTTTTGCAAACAGAATTTAAATAACTGTTCTTAATTTTTAATCAAGTTTATAAATAAAACTGCTATCTCTTCATTGAAGTTTTGGGGTAGCAAACATATGAACACCCAATTCAAAGTAAAAGTATGTAAAACTCCAAAGAAATACAAACTTATAAAATGATAATTTTACTATAAAATTTTTTTTCAAAATATATTAAGTAGTCTTTAATGTGCTAGCAGACTTATTACTAAAGAGGAAAAAAAACCTGCTGACATCTTTAAAAAGAATAGTCATCTTTAGTTAGCTAAGACCAAGCCAAATATCTATCCTTTAATCCACAGGTCAGCAAACTTTTTCTGTGAAGGGCCAGACAGTGACTATCTTAGGCTTTATGGACCAACAGGTAAAATCAAATCGGTTATTTTAAAGCAAAAGAGAAAACAAATTTCCACAAACATTTTATTGACAAAATTCAAATTATATAGTAATAATTGAGTTTAATTTTTTGTAATACAGGTCTACCAATGAAAAGGAAGAAATTATTTTCTTTTGGGTAGGAAGATAAAATTTCACTTAATTGAGGTTCAAAGCTAGTGTTCCCTACTATCACAATTGATTGCAAATGTTAATCTGTTAATGTTGATCTGTAATGAGATTTTATGCATTTGATTATCAAAAATTTTCTTTCACACAGATAGGTACTGCTAAAGGTTGAAATCAATCCACAACCACATGATTTAATTTATCGTATGGAAGGTACCCATAGAATTCTTTAGATTCTTGATATTTGCCTGTTATCATGTCATTACACTGCAAATTAATCACTTCCAAGTGAAGATTAGTGGAAGCTGCTCAATTGTACAGTTAAATGGATTTTGAAATATGGAAATTTCCTTTGCACTTGCATGAAGTCTGAAAAACACTGCTGGAACTGGCAGTTTGAGCTCAGATAATGTATCTGCTACACTGTGTTAGAATGGAGATCTTGCTTCTTGTTTTGACTTTTCATAGCACTTTTTAAAAAATTACTTTTTGTGATTACAATGCTATTTGTTTTCTAAATAACTTTACGGCAGTATAGGTTTCCCATATAAGCAGTGTTTTCTCTTGCAATCTTAGGCTGAATTCATTAAGAACGACCCTCAAGTCTGCAGCAAAAGCTAATTTCCAAAGCCAGTCAGTGTTCAATCATAGTGATTGAAGAGGATTCTTCTCATTCAGAAAAATTTCAGTCTGAGCTCAGAGCTCAAAATATCACAGTAAAGCTTTACCATTGCTATGCCATCAAGCTGCTGCATAGTAGGGCAGGTCAAGATATTCAGCCTCTACTTCTGATAAAGGTTTACGTAACTGACGACAGTTAAGTCCATAAGAGCAAATGAAGTTCTCCATTAACATTACTACCTCAAGAACACATGATAGGTTCAAACATGCTCTGCAAAGTACCTGCTGTCAAATAACACAGTGAATAACTGTAGGTTTTAACACCTTAGAGTTCACAAACTTTATAAATTAACCCGACTAAGCCTTTTTCTGCTACTCATCTATATTTACCACCAAGAGTTGTAATACATCTTAGCAGATTCCACTTCAGGTTGTACCGTTTTTTCAACTTTGAAAATATTCTCTCCTGGAGTGGTTCCACACATACTATTCATAGAGGCTAATTCTTCAGCCACTTCAAGCTCAGTACTGACTCCTCAAATAAACCACAATTGAGTGGTATCGGTAACATCTGTCAACTCATCTACAGCCAAGGAAGATCACTTGAAATTATTTGCCTTGTTTTTAAATTGATTATGATGCTTTCAACGTTCTCAATTCTTTAAGAAATTGTTCTTGCCAAAAGGCTACTACTCAAGCAAGTATATTTTCTCTGAACACACTTCCTAAGCTGCTGCAATCAAATGCAATTTCATGAACTCGCCATTGATTAATGGCTTTCTTTGCTTCACAAATAAGCCACTCAGAAACTTACTTTGGTCAAAGTTCCATTTTCATCTTTTATTTTTATGAAGAAATTCTGCTATGATGAGATATTCCATTTTAAATGCTCTAATTTTTCTGGACATTGCTTTTTTGTGAGTTAGGAATATCATGTTGAGTACTTAGTATGGTAATGTCAATGTATAGGAGTATTCTTTTAGCACAGCTGTAATATCATTGCATAATAAACACAATACTTTGCATTTTGATAAAAATTAGTCCACCTTCCATTGCTCCCCTAAAAGTGCAACATTCAAAGTCCAATTTTCTCTTCTTTTCTTGTTTTCACATGATGAGTATGAGCTGGTAATAAAAAAATAAAGTGTCGCAATACAGCAACATACATGGTACCTGAAAGGCTGTCAAGTCATAAATGTGTCACTATGATTTGTTGTGCATCCTGCAACACTCTGAAGTGTTGAGAGCACCATATGCACTCTGTCCAAACTCCTCAACTCTGCCACTATGGAATGAAAGCAGCTATAGACAACATGTAAATAAATGGGCATGGCTGTGTTCCAATAAAAACAGAAATTTGAATTTCACACAAATTTAAATGTCACAAAATATTATTTTTTGAATTTTTTCAATGATTTAAAAATGTAAGAACTATTCTTAGATCATGAGCCATACAAGGTGGTGGGTAGGACTTGCCTCACAGGCTATAGTTTGCCAACCCTCACTTTAATGTACACTAAGTTCAACTTGTAAAACAGGAAATAAAACTAATAGAAAACAAAAAGCAAGGACATAACCAATAGCTTCAGGCTTAAATATATATATATACATATGTTGTACCTGACTTCATGCTAAAAAAAAATGTGTAATACTGCAAGACAATCTTTTATGAAGTCTACTTTAAGTGTGCAAGCAATTCAAACAAATTAGTAAAATTTTTTAAGTGAAAAGATCCCTGAAATAAACTTTTAAAGCAAAAACATCCCTTTATATAACAGCCACGTCCTGAAATGCCTATTTGTAAATTAAAATATTTGCTCATTCGATTTCCTCAGAGAAGTAATTCCAAGGACTCTTTTAAATATCATTGGAAAAATACCATATGCTTAATTTCCTTAATCTGATAAAAAGCATCAACTTTTTTTAAAACTACAGGAAACATCATATTTTTATGGTAAAAATTAAAAGCTTTTCCACTGAAATCAGGAACTAGACAACTATATCTGGTATTTCCACTTCAATTCCATATTATACTGGGTCCTAACCCACTAAATAAGGCAAGAAAAATTTAAAAGGCAAGAAAAATAAAAAAGAGTAAGGATTGGAAAAGAAAAATTAGTACCATCAGCCGACATGTATATAACACTTTGCAATTTTTACATGCTTTCACAAATAATACTCATAACAGCCCTGCCAAAACAAAATATTTGTTTCCATTTTATAAATTAGGAAACTGAGGTTTAGAGAATTTGTTTGCAGGACAAGAAGATGGACAGTGTGGCTGAAGCAAAAGAGAGAAAAAGGAGAGTGGAAGCAGATAAAGTTAGAAAAATGAGCAGAAGTCAGAAAGCTGGGATAAGGAATCAGATTTTACTCTGGTTGCAATGGAAAGCAATTAGAGAATTTTAAGCAGAAGAGACACAACATCTGATTTATACCTTAAAAATAGACTTGTTAGGAAGCCACTGCAGTAGTGCAAGAAGAGATGATGATGACCTGAATGAGAATTGAAGTAGTAGTAAAAAAAGTTAGAAGTGGTCAGATTCCAGATAATTTTGGAGGTAAAGATGATGGGACTTTGAAAGGGAGAGAGAAATGCATGGTAGATTAAAGGGAATATGGAGTCAAGATAGAGCTTTTTTCCCCCAGATGATTGTACTGAGGCAGGATTAAAGCCAACAGGGACAATCCAATAGAAAGTGATGATGCAAAAGAGAGGACAATCATAGGAAGAGATAACCATGACAAATAAAAATGGCAAGCAATAGGATATGTTGGACTATAAGAGGAAGTCATTCAGTGTAAACCTAATTCTGCCTGCTTTGTTTTTCCAAAAGGACCTGACATGGCCATTGAGCCTGCATTGTATATCTGCTTTAAGCATTTGCTATGTCCCAAAGACAACAATAAATGGCCTTAAGATAAAGGTGCAACTTCCCCCACATTGGCATTTCCTTAAGGATAAGCATCTCTCCCTAGGCTAGGAACTGATTCCTGTGACCACCCAGCTTGAGACAACAAACTTGCCACCCTGCTGTGTCCACCGAGACCAGCAGACCTACCACCTGCTGTGTCCATCAATCGCTGTGCCAAGAGAGCAGCTTCATAATTACTGTAAAAGGGACATTTCAATCACATGTGAAACCTTCTCTTTGAGGGTATATAACCACTCTGTACACCCCACTTCTTTGGTGCCCTTTCTTCCTTGGGGAAGGAAAGCCCCAGGCTATACAATCCTCACATTTGGCTCAGAACAAACTCACCCCAATTTTCATTTATAGATTGGCTATGGATTATTTTTGTTGACAACCACAAGGGCAAAGTTCTTGAGATGTCCAGAGTATCTAGAATCCAGAGCATAAATGGAGGGCTTAGGCACAGATGGGATCAAGGTCAGTCTTTCAGAATATCATGAAGGATGACAACACACTGAGTAACAGATGGACTTAACTTGATGTATTTGGTGGTAGAGGTAGCTCTCATCTGTTAATATCTATTTTCTCTATAAAGTGAGACAAATAGGTGACAGTGGCCAGGTAGATTTTGTGCGGGGGGTTTTTTGTGGCTTTTGAATTTTTTTTGGTTGGTTGTTTTTATTTTGGTTTGGTTTTTGGTAGGGAGGCAGGTATTAGTGATTTAAGGAGAAATACAATCTCAAACAATGCTTTCAAAGAGAAAAAAAGTGAATTTCCTAGGGAACTAACTGTAAAATAGAACTGTGTAGTACTGTTGACTGCACATTTGATATTTGCAATCATAGATTTAAAATAAGTCTGGTCAGCACATTGTATGATTTTCTTCTAACAAATTTTAGCTTTTCTGATGCAGGCATAGATTAAATATATAAATGTTTTTAACCAGGATAAGGTTTTGCCAGTCAAAGATTAAGCATTTAATTGTAATTAAACAAGGTACAGTTTGCAAGATTAGTAGGATGATAAGAGGGACAAAGGAGTCAAGAGTGTCTGCAAGGGGCTGGCCCCATGGCCGAGTGGTTAAGTTCACATGCTCCGCTGCAGGCGGCCCAGTGTTTCGTTGGTTCGAATCCTGGACGCAGACATGGCACTGCTCATCAAACCAAGCTGAGGCAGCGTCCCACATGCCACAACTAGAAGGACCCACAACGAAGAATATACAACTATGTACCGGGGGGCTTTGGGGAGAAAAAGCAAAAAATAAAATCTTTAAAAAAAAAAAAAAAAAAAAAAGAGTGTCTGCAAGAGATGGTCATTGGGCTAGACCACAGAAACTAAACTGAGCAGGAGACAAGTGATGAGCGAGGAGGGCAGTTTGAAAGTCATATATCTGTATGAACCTTACTTGGATCTTGAGTCAAACAAAATATTTTTTAAAGCAAAGGACATGAGATAATTGGAAATTTAATATTTTTATATTAAATATTTTGACACTAAAATTCTTTTTTAGGTATGATAATATATTGTGCTTTTTTTTTTAAGTCTGTTATGAATAGATATATCTGGGGTATACTTCAAAATAATACAGGAAGTGAAGAAGTGGATGAGGGTAAAAATGAAACAAGATTGACCATGGGTTGATGATTATTTAGGTTGTATGATAGGTATATGAGGGTTCATTATACTATTCAGTCTACTTTTGTATACCTTTGAAATCTTCCATAATGAAAAGTTAAAATAAGAAAAAAGTCACACATCAAGTTCATTTTAAATGAAATCTGCATCTTTGATTAATTACAACTCATAGTTTTAAGACCTGAAAATCTTTAAAATCTGTACATACACACAACAAATACAGAAGGAGATTTTATCATAACTTGTACATTTCAACAAAAACAAAAGCCTAGGGGCTGTGAGGTTAAAGAGAATGGTGCAATTAATAGAAAAAATCAAAGATATGTAATTATACTTTATTCCATAGTAACATAAGTTTTCTATAAAGATTAATTTAACAAATATAATTTCTCTTGATTTAAAGAAATGAATTGTGTAAAAAAAATTCTAAATGAATAAGACAGAAATAATACGAATGAAAAACAGAACCATCCTGATCACTCATAACCTTTCTTATGCTTTAATCAACTCTTGAATATTTACCATGTCATTTCAACATACCATTTCACAAACTGCCATTCAATTACAAACAATGCACTATCAGATGGGTTTTTTAAATGTATTTATAAAAACTAAGAAATTAAACTTACTATTTCTTTCTGTTCTCTTGGAAAAGAAGAAAATAAGCACTGTTCTTATGCTCCAGATACTACAAAGGAAGTAAAATTCAGAAACAAAAACGATCATTAGGATAAATGAATAAAAAGGCATATAAAATGAAAACAAACACACATTTCCAATTTGAGTTAGGTACATTGTTTCCCTTTATATTTTGAAAATCAAAAAGTACTCCTTTCAGAGACCATCAGAAAGTCTACCGGTGCTTTCAAAGGAGACAAAATCTCAATCTAAAATCCATGGACTTTCTGAGGGTCCCTCTGAATCGCAAAATCGCCTTTGTATGTATAATTGCATTTCTTTGGAAAGACCATTGCTTTCATCATTCTCAAAGGGGTCTATGAACCCCTCAAAAATTAAGAACAAATTATAGAATGCCTTCTAAGTAAATATCAACTCCAAAAATTTGTCTAATCCCATGCATTAAAGTAAAAAGGAGGTTTTACAAATCCAGAGCATTATACAAATATAAGTTGCTGCTCCTTCCTTATTATTTAACATTGGAGAGATCTGGAGCTTTCTGGAGGGGAAAAATAATCTTACCTTCAAATAAATACTGATAAAGTAAACTCAGCTAAACACTTCCTTCCTAAGATTTTATGAGGATAAGTCTTTAGGCTTTGCATTAGTAAGACATCAAATTATATTAAAAGAAAATCAAAGAATGATCCTAATCACCAGCTTGTCAAAGTCATCTCTTAAATTCAGCGTAAATATAGCAAATATGTCTTTGTCCATAGAACACAGCAGAATAAGTATAAAAACATTCATCATGTTATAAAAGAAATACATTGTATTTGAATATAAATTCAGATAATAAGTATGAAAATTAGTTCTCCATTGAAATATATCATTGCTCTTCTTGGGAGTCAGCCTGTAGGGTAGGCAACAGTGAACTCTATCTCCTGGTATTCACACCTTGGTGTAGTCCTCTCTCACCAGTGTTGGTCTGTATGACCAACAGCATATGGCAGAAGTGATCGTATGTCACTTCAACATTAGGTTATAAAAGACTGCAGCTTTCATCTTGGAACTCCTCTTCCACTCACTATCTTTCTCTCTCTTGGATTACTCGGCCTGAGAGAAGGCAACTGCTATGACACGAGGACATTCAGGGAATTCCATAGAAAGGCCCACGTGGTGAGGAACAAAGATCTCTGGCAAACAGCCAGTGAGGAGCCGAGGCCTGCCAACAACCGCGTGTGTGAGCTTAGACTCCAGCCTTAGTTAAGCCTTGAGGTGACTGAAGCCTCAGCCAACAGCTTAACTGTAATTTACATACAAATAAAAGACCCTGAGCCAGAACCACCCAACAAAGCTGCTCCCACATTCCTGCCCCTCAGGAACTGTGGAGATGATAAACATTTATTGTTTTAAGCTACTAAATTCTAGGGCATTTTGTTACACAGCAATAGATAACTAATACATGCTTTTTATATTGTGATGATTTATTTTTAGGATATGAAAACACCAAACAACCAGTACCAGATTGCTATATGGTCCTTGGACAACTATTTAAGCAATACAGACACTGAACATTGTCCTTATCAAGGGAAGGGCGATGACAGAAGAGGTTAACCATACTGCTCATAACCCTCAAAGGATCCTACGATAGTAGAAAAGTCCCATACTATTTCTCCACTGCAAAGCCACTGAAACAGTGGCAAGCTGAGAGAGATGACTTAGAAAAAAAGTACAGGGAAAGAAAATAGAGACACAAGAGAAGGAATTGCAGAGATGGTAGCTATAATTCTGTAAGAAATCAGTAAATTTCCTTAAATGAGTAGATACTTTTTTAAAAGTGTATATAATTTTCAAAGGGTAGAAACTACAAGAATTGAAATATATTCCCTTACTTCAGAATAAAACTCACTAATGCCCCACTTTGTGAACAATAAATTCTCCTGTTCGTTTTTATCACAACTACTACTGGAGGAAATGAGCTGACAAACAATACATATTTCCATGCGTCAAGTCTTCAAGACTTTAAAAGGTAGAACACATAGAATTAGTTATTTTTTAAAGTTAAATTAAATTCTTTTGTATTTTTAAACTAAAATTTAGAAAAAGAATTAAAGTATTTCAGAAATCTATATTCTAATTATCCCAATAAAGGTTTTGCTCTCCCAATAATTAAATATAACTTATAAAAATACAGCAACATGTTTTGTGAAGATGTTACAATACTATTACTGATACCTACTTTGAGAATAGTGGCATAATCCCCATTTCCTCCTTCTCTTCTTAAAAATCATCCAAACAAGGAGAACAAAAACAAAAACATAAATTCCTTTTCTGATAAAATTAAGATAGAGCTAAAACACAGCCCTCAAAATATGTGGAAGGGCTCACAAAAGCAATGGAGATGATGTAGGGGCTCAAAACAGTGGAAGAAGAGAAGGAAAACTGCTTCTCTCACAAAGAGGTAGCAAGATAAACTTCTCAAAGTGTAAAGCCTAAAATCCATGTTTATAACAATGAGAATGAGATACACATGCTACAGGCAGAAACTCCTCAGTTTGGTTCCCACAATGAAACAGAGAAGACAGAGCTTAAAGGAAATCATTCAGGAATGCACTATTTACAAAGAACACTCTGTTTCTATGGCAGCAGGAGAGAAAAGAGGTTTTCTATTACAAAAAAAATACAGTAACCTAACTCTATTGGCTGGGGAAAGAAAAAAGCTGAACAAACTAACACACTTATTCTTGGATCATAAGGAAAATTCTAGACAGCCTGGAACATAGGAAGACACACCTCCATACTCACACACACTTCCTACAAATAACTAGGCCAAAGTAAACATACTACATAGTTAGAGATTTTTTCAGTTATAAAAACCAAAAGCAAAACAGAAAATTATGTTTCAAAACTTAGACCGTCTTTCATTTCAATAAACATAAGTGAGCTAAATTCACCAGAGGAAAACAAAAAGACTTTCAGACTGGATCATAAAACAACATCCAAGCCTACAATGTAAACTGACATCTAAGCGGTTTTGAAGGTTGAAAACAAAACAAAGGGCAAAAGTATACTAGGCAAATACAAACAGAACAAGGGTTGTGATCTTAATACCCCACACGGTTGAACTTGAGATCCCTCAAAAAAAAACTTTAAACTAAAAAAAGGTCACGTTATAGTGTAGTGTTAAGAAGGACGCAGTTCCTTTCCAACGAATGGTGCTGGAGCAATTAGGCATCCATGGGCAAAAAAAACCCAGAATCTCAACACGAACCTCACCCCTTATATAAAGATTAACTCAAAGTGGACTATGAACTTAAATGTAAAATGTTATAAGGAAAAAAGCATTAAAACAAAAAGCAAAGAAGAAAATCTTCAGGACTTACAGCTAGGGAAGTGTTCTTAACAACAAAAGTGCAATCCAGAAAAGGAAAAATTAATAAACTTTCTCTGCAAAAGACCTTATTAAGAGGATGAAAAGACAAACTATAAAATGGGAAAAAATATTTGCAAATCATATAGTGAGCAAAGAACTTGTATCTACAATATATAAAGAACTCTCAAACCCAACAGAAAAAAGACTAATAATCCAATCAGAAAATTAAAAGATACAAACAGACATTTCACTGAAGAGGAGATACAGATGGCAAATAAACACACGAAAAGATGTTCAACATCATTAGCCATTAGGGAATGTAAATAAAAACCACAATGAGATATCACTACATACCCATCAGAATGATTAAAACAGAATAGAAAACAGTGATAATACTAAACGTTGGCAAGGATGTAGAGAAACTAGATCACTCACACATAACTAGTAGAAATGTAAAAAGTACATCTACTCTGAAAAAAAGTTCAGCAGTTTCTTATAAAACTAAACATGTACTTACCATATGCCCAGAAATTGCACTTTTGGACATATACCCCAGACAAATGAAAACTTACGTTCAGCAACACCTGTACACAAATGTTCCTAACAGCCTTATATGGAATAGCCAAAAACTGGAAACTATTCAAATGTCCTTCAACAGGTGTATGATTAAACAAACTGTGGCACATTAATACCATGGAATACTACTCAGCAATAAAAAGGAACTGCTGATACACTTAACATCTTGGATGGATCTCAAGAATATGCTGAGTGAAAAAAGCCAATTTCAAAAGGTTACATACCATGTGATCCCATTTTATAACATTCTTGAAATGACAAGATTATGGAGATGGAAAATAGACTAGTGGGTGGCAGGAGTGAGAAATGGAGGAGGGTTGGTATGACTACAAAGAGGTGGCAAAAAGAAGCCTTGTGGTTTTGGAACAGTTCTAGATCTGAATTGTGGGGTAGTTACATGAAGCTACACGTGTGATAAAATTTCACAGAAATATAAAACACACACACAAATGAGTGGTATGTAAAACTGGTAAAATCTGAATAGGCTCTGTGAATTGAACCAATGTCAATTTCCTGGCTGTGATATTTTACTATAGTCAAGATGTTACCATTGGGGAAGGCTGGGTGAAGTGTGTACAGGACCTGCTTATACATCTTTTTTTTTTTTTTTTTTTGCAACTTCCTGTAAATCTATGATTATTTCAAAATAAAAAAGTTTTTTTTTAAAGGATGTGTTTACAATGGAGATATAACAGGAATATCTATTCATCAAACAGCAAAGCATCAACATTCATAAAGCAAAACTAAAGAAAATACAGAGAGAAGTAGAAAGATATTGTTATTAGGATACAGAATGAGACAGTTCTCATTGAGAATATTAAACTCTGTGTACTTAAAAAAAAAGAACACATCTTTAAGTGTTCATAAAACACAACTGACCAAATAGCATGCCACCAAAATAAAGTTTCAACAAATTCAAAGAAGTAGAAATAGGATTCAACAGTATTCTCTGAAAGCAATACAATAAAACTACAAATAGTAATTAAGCCAAAAACCAAACATATAAACACACATTTGCCACCTGGAAATAACACTTAGATTACAAAAACTAAAAAAAAGAAAAAGAAAAAGAAAAAAATTATGATATCTAGAAAAAACCAAAGTAAATTACTACATAT